AAACTGGTTTATCAAAGCTTTAACAACAGTTATTTGTTTACCTTTTCTGTTCCTAAGTTCAGCTCTCCCCAACATTTGAGTTTTCCCAGAAGCAAATCAGAGATAAGGATCTGAGGGCAAGAATGTTACTTGGGAGGTGATCTCAGAAACTAGCAATAGGGGAGGGAAGAAATCCAACAAAAGATGTGTTATGAAGAAAACTACCACTGCAGGTAAATGGAGCTTTAAAACGACGGAACTGTTCTGGTAAATATACAACACACAACTCAGTTGTTCCATCCAGAGGTCCCAGTAACTCAGATATTTATACACCAATTCCTATCTTTCTTGGTTGACCTAACAACCGAATTAGCTAAAACCTAAAAAGTCAACTGAAATATCTTGAAGGGGGTGGGGCAAGCAGGGAGCAGTTTTCTAAACAAAGCAAAGATGTAAGGGCCCTAAGGCAGTGCTGTGGACATTTGTTGCTTTTTGGCTCACTAGAGTTTATTATTTCTTCTGATATCACCTTCAGTGTATTTGGGGGAGATATCTTGCCCATGGTATACAGTCTTAAGGGGACTGTCAATCGATTCTCCCCAAGGGCAGTAACATAAGCCAGGTTATGCCAATTGGACTGTCTCAGGAAAATCTGAATCTTATGCAGAGTGATAAAAGGACAGAAAATCATTTCAGAGACAGCACTAAGACAATGCTGATTAGCACCTTTATGGAATATTTTCTCTTATAAGATCCCCAGAGTTGCCTTGGTTTCTGCTCCCTCAGAGCCACCATATTGTTCAAATGATTTACTTTTTTTGTCTGCCAGCCAGAGTTTTTATTTCTTACAAAGAAATCTGAGGGCTGGGTGCAGTGGCTCATGCCTGTAATCTTAGCACTTTGGGAGACCAAGGCAGGAGGACTGCTTGAGACCAGGAGTTCGAGACCAGCTTAGGCAACATAGCACGACCTCAACTCTACAAAAAAACACAAAATTAGCCAGGCATGGTGGCATGCCTATAGTCCCAGGGGCTCGGGAGGCTGAGGCTGATTAGCACCTTTATGGAATGTTTTTTCTTATAAAACTCTCCGGCAATGATGATTATTCTCTCTGAACCCCGGAGGTTGAGGCTGAAGTGAGCCATGATTGTGCCACTGCACTTCAGATTCCAGCCTGGGCAACAGTGAGACCACGACTCGAAAAATAAAAGAACTCTATAAAAGGCAGGAAGAAATGACATGTTCAAAAACTTATTAGAAAAAAAATTCCACATCTTTAGTAAAGTTTTTATATTCTCTTGGTATATCCTTTGTCTACCACACACCCACTATTTTCAAATGTGTCTGTGCTACTATATAGAAAAGTAATTAATTTAGTGTTTTTCTTAAGTCTGGCCATTTATTTTTAGTTGTCCTTGGATTTGCTTATGTAAATTATCTTTTTCCCTATAACTGTCCTCTTTATTTGGTCTTATTACACCAGTCTATGACCTCCAAAGAATTTAAAATAATTGCGGTTCATCCTTCTCTAGCTCTTGATCTTACAATTCCAAAGCTTCACCATTAAGCATAGGGACACAGATATCTGGTCAAGATTTTTTTCTTTTAATAGCTTACTAAGGGGTTTTTACCAGGAAGGGTGTTGAATTTTATAAATACTATTTCACCATTTAGTAAGATGATGTGCTTTTTCTTCTTTAATGTAAAAAACTTCAAGGGTTTACTAATGTTTAGCAGTCTTTGTGACATAAATTCCAACTTGCTCATCATGCTTTATCTTTTACTGGCTAAGACTTGCCATTTTAGAATTTTTCAATCTGTATTAAGAGGGCTCTAGAGTCCCCCACTCCAACCTCATGAACCATCCTAGTCGTTTTTACATGTTATGCTAACCTTATAGAATACATTGTTAGTTCAATCTAATCCCAAATGTCACACATTATATTCTTCCAATCAATTTTTAACCGTTTGCTATTTTCTTTAAGGAAGCTGAACTGCATTTTTTTTTTTAAACCTTCAAAGAACTTATTCTAACTGGCCAGGCTTGACTGATGCCTGACCCTGTCTCCACACATTTTCATAAAGATTTTACACTGACATTTGATACTTAAGTGAAAATCAGACGCATTGTCAAAGGAAATGCTTCCAAATTCTCCACTACTAGAGTCTGTTTCCAGGGACTAAAAAGTTAAAATCCATCACCCCAAGTTTCCTCTTAAAATTCACCTCAATATCACCTTCTACATTGTCCCTAGGGCAACTACTAATCTTCCTCATATTTTTCATTTTATAATTTTAAGTAAATGGAGGCATAGTTTATGTACTTTTACCTGGCTTCTTTCATTCCACATCAAGATTTGTCCATGTTGTGTATACCAATTATCTGACCCCTTTTCACTGCTAAGTTGTATTCCATTGTATAGATATACCATAATTTATCCATTCACTTGCCAGTGGACCTTTACAAAATAAAGCTCTAAAGATGAAGAAACTATTCTCTCTTTTTTTGAGTCTGAGTCTCACTCTATCTCCCAGGCTAAAGTGCAATGGCACACTCAGGGCCATCACAGCCTCAACCTGCTGGATTCAGGCAATCCTTCTACCTAAGCCTTCTAAGTAGCTGGAACCACAGGTGCATGGCACCACACCTAGCTAATTTTTATTTATTTATTGTAGAGATGAGGTCTTGCCAAGTTGCCTGGTCTTGAATCCATGGGCTCAGGCAATTCTCTCATCTCTGGCTCCCAAAGTGCTGGGATTACAGACACAGCCACACCTGGCAAAACTAGTCTTCACATGGATATATGCTTTCATTTCTCTTGGGTAAATACCTAGGAGAATGGCTGGGTCATATAAAATGTTTAACTTTTAAAAATTGCTCAACTTTTCTACAGCAGTTGTAGCATTTAACATTGAGATCAGCACTGCAGGAGGGTTTGAGATGCTTCACATCCTTAACATTTGGTATGGCTGTTTTTGTTTTTCAAACTTGAGCCATTCTGATAGGTGTGGAGCAGTATCTCTCTGTAGTTTAACTTGCACTTCCCTGATGACTGATATTGAGCATCTTTTCACGTGCTTATTTACCACTTAACACATATCCTTTGGCGAAGAGTGCAAATCTTTTCTCCATTTCTAAAACTGAGTTATCTAGTCATTGAATTCCGAGAGTCCCTTACGGACACAAATTCTTTGTTTTGATATAGTCTGTAAATATTTCCTCCCAGTCTGCAGCTTGCTTTTTTTCATTCACTTAAGTGTTATTATGTCATAGCCCATCTGTGTTGTTATACAGGGATACCTGAGACTGAGAAAAGTTTATCTGGCACACGGTTCTACAGGCTGTACAAGAAGCATGCCTCGGAACCTGCTTCTGGTGAGGGCCTCAGGAACCCTCCACTAATGGCAGAAGGTAAAGGGGAGCAGGCATTACATGGTGAGAGAGGAAGGGAGAGGGAAGAGAAGTGCCAGATTCATTTTAACAAACAACTCTCTCTGGAACTAACAGAGAGAACTCTCAGTACTGGGACAGCACCAACTCATTCATGAGGGATTCATCCCCATTACCCAAACACCTCCTACTGGTCTCACCTCCAACATAGGAGATAAAATCTCAACCTAAGATATGGAGGGAATATTCAAACTATAGGAATATAGTTCATGCTTTTTGTGTCCTATTTTAGAGCTCTGCCAAAACCAAAGTCACTAAGAGTTTTTCCTATATTTTCTTCTAGAAGCTTTATAGTTTTAGCTACATTAACTTTTAAATCCCCTTCAATTCCTTCTTTTCTTTTGTTCCCCACCATCAATCCTGGCAACTTTTTTTGAGAAATAATTTCTATTTGCAAAGTTGTCCTATTTACTTTTCCTCTTTCTTATTCATTCTAAAGACCTCTCAGCGGATTCCCCTTATCCCTAAACCAGAATATTCTTAATTCCTTTTTTTAAAAAAAAGCAATCATCTTTAGTGACTCACTTCTAAAATATATAGAGCCACTAGCCTCATGTGGCTACCTAAATAAAAATGACAATTAAATAAATTAGCTGGGTACTGTGGCATGCTCCTGTAGTCCCAGCTACTCAGGGGCTAAGGCTGAGGCAGGAGGATCACTTGAGACCAGAAGTTTGAATCTGCAGTGAGCTATGGTCATGCCAAAGTGCTCCAGCCTGGGCAACAGAGCCAAGAACCTATCTCCAAAAATAAATAAATTAAAAAAATTAATTTCTGCTGCTCATTTACACTAGCCATATTGCAAGTGCTTAATATTGCCACATAAGCTGATGGTTACTACACTGCACAGTACAAATACATCATCATCATCCCAGAAAGTTCTATTGGACAATGTTGGTTATAGATCAATTAATAGCTTCCATCTTTTAAGCACTTAGTCTAGGCAATATAGTAAAGATTTTAATCCTCATAACACTTTGAGGCAATCTTTTATCTCCATGTGAGATAAGAAAATTAAGATTCTGTTAGTCTAGGCAATATAGTAAAGATTTTAATCCTCATAACACTTTGAGGCAATCTTTTATCTCCATGTGAGATAAGAAAATTAAGATTCTGTAAAGATACTCAGCTAAAGCAATCCTTTAAAGCTCAAAACTGCTCTTTATTGTCCTTTTATAGAAAACCACTTGTAAGCTTCTCACAGATTTTCTTCAATCCCAATGCAGTACACTTTGCAAACAATTTCCCTTATTTTGTCCTTTTCTTCCTTCAAAAACATAGTATATGTGGGAAGTCCCCAACTAATCTCACCCCGTTTTCACTTCTTATTCTTCGATATTTATACACTTTGTACTATACCAGTATGTGAAATATGAAAACCAGGTTAGGAAGTTAAAAACCTCAACTATCTCAGTCTAAATAGGCCTGTATTTAAATTAATGGAAGCTATTAAATGATCTAAACCAACACTGTCTGATAGACCTTTCTGGGATGATTTTCTGCTTGTTTTCTCCATGACAGCAGACAATTAGAAAGAAAACAACATAAAAGCAAAGAAATAGACAAATTTTCTACAAATTCCTTATACTTCATTATTCCAAGTTATACACAATGCTCAACAGGATATTGAAGTTTATTTAGTCATATACACAAGTCATGTCTGACAACTAAGAAAATGCCATTTACATAAAACATCATAGATTAAAAATACATAGTATTTGTATTTTAATACAATAGGGTCCCAGGATTCAAACAAGGAAGTTTGATTCCAGAGTTTGCATCATGTAGTTATATACTGTGCTACAAAGAACTATAGTGGAGGTAAACTTTGGCAGTATATGTCTCAAAAGTCAAATATTAATGAATTTCATATATCCGGTTTTGCATCTGTAGAGGAAGATACAATTCCTTCAGCACATGTGCCAATTTCTGAGTCTTCCACTTCAGAATCCTCACCAGTTTCCTCTTCAGAATCAAATTCCTGGCTATCTGGTGATTCAAAGTTATCCAGCGGTTCACCACTCAGTCTCTTTTAAAAAAAACCAACAATTTATTGTAAAAACTTTACAAGCTAAGTCTATTATATGCTAATATAGCTGACCTTCAATGTTGCAATGAGATTCTTAAGTGTTATATCAAAGTTTCTATTCTGCTAGACCATATTCAGTAATGTCACAGTGATTAATAATTTGCCAATTTTTTAAAGTTGTGAAATGCTTTCAGCAGGTTATTTAAATTGATACTTATCGAGCGAGCTGCAGTTAAGAACTAGGTGTTACACATTTCCAATCAGCTGTGGACCAATACCTTTAAGGCAGTTAAGAGAGCTACAACATACTTCCAAGTGAAAACTTCCAACATTAATTCTATCATGGCTTTAAAATGTGAAGCCACAATTCAGCACATAGAAAGTTTTGATCCGAAAAACTTTCTTCCTATCAGCCAGATGAATTGTTTGCAAACACGAGACATGAATACATCTTAAAATGTTTTTTAGGCCAAGTCTGGTAAAGTAAGTCATCAGGCTAATTCTTACAATTGGATTAACTACTTACAAATTTTTTAAAAGTCAAATAAAACCCACCAAACATATTTACTATACCAATTAACAGTATTATAAATGACAGTATGTCATGATGTCATGCTGCTATTAAAGTAAAAACTACCTAAAAATGTGCCACTATGAAATACTGTTCTATATTTTTTAGACCTAATTCCTTTTAATAACTCTACAAGAAGATATATGTTCTTTTGCTTCAAAATAATAATAGTTGACAGTTATTGGACTCTTACTGGCTGCAAGTGCTCCTCACAACTGTCCATCTACGGTAACTTGTCCAATTCTCATAACAAGTCTACCAAGTAGGCATCTTTGCTCCCACTTTGTAGATGAGAAAAATGAAGCCCTGATAGGATAAATAACTTACTTTATTCAACAACTTTATATGGTACTAGGCAGGAAGCTAAAACTTAAATTCAGGAATCTGATTCCAGAGCCCAAACACTTAAACTGACCACACTACTGCCTCAACTTTATAGAAAAAAAGATGATTTTTTAGTTGGGCATGGTGGGGCGGGCCTATAGTCCTAGCTACTCAGGAAGCTGAGGTGGAAGGATCTCCTGAGCCAGCAGGTCAAGGCTGAGGTAGCCATGAGTGTGTCACTGCACTCCAGCCTGGGCGACAGAGTGAGACTTCAACTCAAAAAAGAAAAAAAAAAAAAAAGAAATAGATGATTTTGAATCATTACTTACCTCTATTACTTCTGCCATATACTGTACATGTTCTGCTACTTCTGCCAATTGTTTATTCTCCTTTTTCAGTCGGGCAATTTCATTGTCCTTTTGTTCAATTTCTTTATGAAGCTGTATAACATAAAGTTCAGTATTCTACAGATATACTATGCTCTAAGTCAAATTACATGCCTTCATATAGACATACATAGCGTGAAATTGGCTCAACACAAGGATTCATTTTGTTTGATAATTCTAGCAACAGAAATTAAGTTTCTACTTAAACTTTTCTTAGGCCAACATTACAGCTAGTTTATATTACACTATTCAAATATACTAGCAGCAAAACTAAAACTGAATCCTGAAATCTTGAAAAATGGTACAAATTATACGCAATACATACTTTTTCATTTTCCTTAAGTGCTTCATAGAGAGCCTTCCGTCGTTTTTCTGCTACTTCTTTCCAATATTGAGAAGACGGATTTTCTGAAATAAATTATTAATGTTTTGCATACAATTTTTAAAAACTATTACTGTAAACATTCAATAATTTCTGTCAAAAAATTTCCAATCTTACTCAGCACTACTCATTATTTAGTAATATTTTTAAAAAATTAAAGTTGGAAAACAAAATCAATTGTTTCTATTTTATTTTTCCCAACATTTCAAAGACTTCAATCTTTCAAAAGAAATGCAACACAAGTACAATAAACACACATATATCTTCTATCTAGACTGCTGAAGATTTAACATTTGCTTTGAGTTTGTATATTTTTAACACTGATGTTTTTGAAAAGTTCAGATCAGTTATTTTGTATATTGTCCTTAATTCTGGATTTCTGTTTCCATGACTAGATTCAAGCTAAACATTTTTGGCAGGAATGTTGTGTAAGTATGTTACTAATTTGTTATGACAAATTAGCAAGAAACACATGCTAATTTGCCACAATACTAGGGATGTTAATTTTGATCATCTGGTTAAGATGCTATCTATTAGATTTCCCCTTTCAGATATATCTTTTTCCTTTACTAACTAATTAATGATCTGTGGAATAAAATCTTTTTTGAGTCCGTGTTAATGCCCTGTTCCCCTAAAACTTTTTACCCAATTTTAACTCCACTGATGTTTCTAGCTTAAACATATTATTTCTACTATAGATGAAAAATAGATTTTTGTATAGTTCCTTCTACATGTAGTAATTGGCATTAGTTTGTAAAAATAACATTCCCTATCTCTATTTAAAAGAATTTATCAGTACAGATTAGTATGTCCCTTTTATATTCAATTATTATAATCCATTCTTGTCATCATTCATTTTGATGCTCAACTCTTCCCAAAAAAGGAATCCTTTCAAGTTGATTCCTGTGTTCTTTCAACATGTGCATCTGATTGAATATTTCCTTATTATCTGACACAAGATATTCCAGGATCACCCTATAGTTTCCTTGTCCCGAACATGGAATCAGCAATTTTATGTACTAGATGAGGATTCCTCTTTATTTAATAAAGAACAATGCTTACACACCAACTGAATGCCTGGTGTGTTCCTTGCTACTAAGGCGTCATTTGTTTCTGAGGTTCTTTCAGTAACAGAGCTAGGAACTGTAATACTTTTTAAAAAATTATCAGTTTATACTGATATCTCCACTTTCAATTCAAGAACACATTAAAGTTGGAGATCTTCCTTTCCTTTCCCGTGCCATATTTGTATTTCCATCCACATCATGAACCTGGCTCTCAACAACATCAACAATAAAATCCTACTATCAACTTGCCTCCTTCCTGTCTTCTAGACAACCCAGAATAAGCCCAAACATTACTGTGACCTTGAGGAGTAAGTTAACTTCTCTAGGCCTCAATGTGCTCATCAGTAATAAGCATCCCATGACATAATTAGTGCAGAAATCTTCCATCATTAGCTTGTTTTGATTTCCATCGCCATTCCACTAAAAACTAGTACTTATTATAGGCATAATGCTTCGCATTCATCTTCACTCCCTTTACTTCATCCACATTTTTATTGGCTCCAATACTTCATATTCTCTTGAAATATTCAAATTCCTTTTGTATTTCAAATTCATTCTCTAGACATTTCTCTTCTGAAAAGTCTATCTCCAAATCTTGTAAACGCTTACAAGGCAATCCAGTATCACAGCTGCCATATTAATCACCATTCCTTAATATTATACCCACTCTTGGACTTTGGCAAACAAATGGCCAGACCTGTCCAAATTTAGTGTTTGTGTACTTACAATCAAAAGATATGTTAAATACTGAAAATATACAAGTAAAATAACTAATAGTAATAGTATTGACAGATTAAAAGGCTATAGGCAGAATTAATAACAGTAATAACTTAAAATTTTAAGCCTAAAGTCATATTTTTTTTCATACCTTTAATCATAAGATCAAATGCTTCTTGAGTGACTCCTTCAAGATTTTTATTTTCACTAACTCCAGGGCTGGAAGTCTTAGATGTTAACTGGTCATTCCAATGTTTCCTTTTGGGTAAGTGTTTAGCCAACTATAATGGAAACACTTATCAATCATATTTACTTTGATTTAATGAACAAAAAAAGCTGGGTGGTTTGTCATTCATGTATTAAAAAAAGAACTCAAACATCTTTTTGATATGTTTGGGTCTTTTAAAAAGTTAACAATTTAAAGTTCTACCAAAATCTACAGTAACATTTAAAAATTTTTAATTTGCAGCAACTATTTTGGACTAGACTTGGGTGTAAGGCATCACTGAAATTATCTATTTTACTTTCTAAAGAGATAAGGTTTCTCTCCGTTGTCCAGGCTGGAGTGGTGTGACACAATCATAGCTCACTGCAGCCTCAAACTCCTGTGCTCATGTGATTCTCCTGCATCAGTTTCCCAAGTAGGTGGGACTACAGTAAAATTACTTCTATTGTGTTTAAATACTGTATTTAAATTCAGTACCATGGAAAGGCAAGATTTTCAATCTGCAAAAGTCTAGACATGCTGATCCATGATTTTATCACTTATACAAAGGGTAAATGAAAGAATCTAACATTATATTATAAAAACATGAACCATTACTACTACAGGATAAATCATAACTTACTACATCATTCCAGGTCTGCTACAGGTATTCACAGCAATTTAAAACTTCCTATATTGAGCAATTAAGATAAAAACCACTTCTTTGGGGAATATGTTATTATTATTCTGAAATTAGTTCCATATTTCAAAAATTATGTGTTTCTGACCAAGAAAATCTTAGAAATGTTTTTAACATAGACATATCACCTGTATTCCATTTCAGCCCTATAATACATACCTCATTTTCTCTTCCAACAAGAGAGCCAGCTGCAGAAGGCTGAATCATCTTCAGAGTTCTTCTTGGGACAGGACTATTCTAAAAGTCAAGATAATTCATTATGTGTTTAGCTATATGGCTATTTAGTTACTGAGTTTCTATATAGATTGCTAGTCTTGGTTCTACTATGATTTGGAAAAAGAAAACATTAAGAACACTAATATTTGCTCTGTTATATAATTTCATAATCCTACATATGAACAACTAGCAAACCTGTTATTATCCAAAATTACAATAAAGTTTTAAGAAATTCTTCAGATGGATCATAATACCCAAACCAGACACAAGTCAATTTTCTCCTCTCATTTCAATATATGCTCTTGCAGTAATAATCATTTTGTCAATTCATCATCTACTAAAAACAAACATAACAAAACTTCTCAGCTCTAATTAATAGTTCAAACCTTATATGACAAAATTCCAACAGGAATATCCATATTATCTCTTTAAAAAAATCATCCAGCAGAAACTAGAAACTTGCTTTTATAAAACCAAACATCACAACAACCATGGAATAAATTCACAAAAAAAGGTAAATTAGGAGAAAAGGTTAATCATTTACATTGCAAAATACTTCTCCTAATCAGAAAGATTCATCTCAGACCTTTAAAAATCATTAATATTCTCACTTTTATATGTATCCATCAGATATTATAATATCCCCTCTCAACCATTACCTGATTGTAGAGGCAGTTCTGCTCAAACCTCTTCATTAGAAAACAGCTAAAATGTCAGTGCTTGAGGCATACTAAAATGCACAAGCTATTGTTTTGGGAAAAATATCGCCTCCCTTGTAATATGTAAATATCTTCCTGTATATTTCCTGATCTGAAAGCTCTATTTTTGCAAAAAATCATTAGTTATACTGCCACCATGGGATAGCAAACAATGGTGAATACTCAAACAAGGTGAGCAAGAACATGATACCATACCAGCGTGAGAAAGTTACTGATTCCAAACTGTACTTCACATGACAAGAGTTCACCTTTCCCACGGTAAAGTTTCTGCTGCTGATTATTATCTTACTGTTTAACTGAAGGACAAATGCCAGCTACAGTGAGAACAAATATTACACCAACATTTCAGACATAATTTAGATTATAGATTAGTCAACAATCTCCAGACAAACAGAAGAAAATGTAACATTGGAAGCTTAATAATAGGTGGTGTTAATTTATTTAAATGCCTGTTGGTTAATAATGGTCAAAGAAGTCAGTTAAGTTACAGTCACCAGAAAATTACCATTTCCAAGATTTAACTTGTACGTGTAAACCTTATGGACTCTGGCCTAAAATAATGTAATATTACTATGATTTTCTGCATACAGATTATGCACTGAAATAACAGACTTTTAGAGTTAAAGTCTCCTATGTATTAATAGGTCTTAACCTTTTTAGAAAACAATTTAATATTCTATGAACCTTCTTCCCCCAAAAATGCACACAAAAGTGCTTGCACTGAATTTTGCATACAACTGGCAAGAATCTAGTTCTAATCGAATTCTCTCATTGTACAGATGAGTAAATTAGACTTAAATGCTAACTAACCCACCCAAGATCAGTTTTGGAAGTAAAACCAAAACTAAACAGAACCCAGTTCTCTTTATCATCAAGATAGTTTTACTATATGAGTAAACAGACTTTTTGTTTTTTGTTTTGCACTCATGTAAGCATTTTCTGTTAGTATACAAATATCTGGCTTTGATTTGCTTCAAAAATAATCCACTGAAGGAAGGGGAGAGTTAACGAAGATACAGATGAAACCAAATTGGTCATTTATTGATTACTGCTAAAGTTAGAGAAGTAAATTATTATACTACTGACTCTGCTTTTAAATATTCAAAAGTTTTCATAATCAAAAGTTTAAATAAACACACAGAGGCCAGGCACAGTGGCTCATGACTATTATCCCAACACTTTGGGAAGCTGAGGTAAGAGAATTGCTTAAGCCCAGGAGTTCGAGACTAGCCTAGGCAACATAGTGAGACCTTGTCTCTACCAAAAAAAAAATCAAATCAAAAGATTATTTGCTTACACTTCTCAACTGCTTTTACTCTATTTAATTTAAATGTGCAAGCCGGGCTTGGTGGCTCAGCCTGTAATCCCGTGCCTTGGGAGGTTGAGGTGAGTAGAATTGCCTGAACCCGCGGGTTCGAGACCTCATCTCTACAATAAATCAAAACTTGGCGAGACCTCACCTCTACAATAAATCAAAAATCAGCCAGGTGTGGTAGCGCTCGCCTGTAGTTCCAGTTACTTGGAAGGCTGAGGCGGAAGGATGGCCGGAGCCCAGGAGGTGAGGCTGTAGTGGCCGGGAGCGGCCACTGCACTCCAGTCTGGGCGACAGAGTGAGACTCCAACTCACTCTTTTAACCATAAATTCTTTTAACCATAAAAGTAGACTCACACCGGGCACAGTGACTCATACCTGTAACACCAGCACTTTGGGAGGCAGAGGTAAGAGGCTTCCCTAAGCCCAGGGGGTCAAGACAAGCCTGGGCAACATAATGAGACCTAATTTCTACAATAACATTTTAAAAAATTAGCCAGGCATGGTGGTATGCACCTGTGGTTACAACTACTTGGAAGGCTGAGCTCAGCAGGTGAGGCTATAGTGGCTGTGAGGGTACCACTGCACACCAACCTGGGCAACAGAATAAGACTCCAACTCAAAAAAAAAGAAAAGTGGACCCAGTCAAAACTGCAAACTCTAAACAAATACTGTTCTATTGACATAAGAATAATTGCTTAGCCAGGCTCGGTGGCTCAGCCTGTAATCCCGCGCCTTTGGGAGGCTGAGGTGAGTGGATTGCCTGAGCCCGCGGGTTCGAGACTCGCCTGGGCAGCGAGACCTCATCTCTACAATATATCAAAAAATCAGCCGGGCGTGGTAGCACATGCCTGTAGTTCCGGCTACTCGGAAGGCTGAGGCGGAAGGATCACCGGAGCCCAGCAGGTCGAGGCTGCGGTGGCCGGGAGCGGCCACTGCACTCCAGTCTGGGCGACGGAGTGAGACTCCAACTCAAAAAAAAAAGAATAATTGCTTAGAGTAAGATTTCTATTGATAGAATAATATGGGAATTCAAAAAGTATTGCAAATTATAATGTACTCTGAAAAAAATGTGCAACACAAAATGTCTCTGTGGTCCAAGATACTGATCCTGAAGATAAACTACAAAGGAATTTAATGAAATCATTTCACAAAATGTAAGAGTAGAACCAAAGCAGTAATAATCTCATATATGGAAAATCCTAAAGAATCTACTAAAAAACTATTAGAACTAATAAACAACTTTGGCAAGGGTGTAGGACACAAGATTAAGGTACAAAAATCAATTGTATTTCTATACAATAGCAATGATCAAACTGAGAATGAAATTAAGGAAACAATTCTATTCACAATAGCATCAGAAAGAATAAAAACACAAGAAAAAACTGAACAAAGACATAAAACTCATACTCTGAAAACTTCAAAATATTGTTGAAAGAAATTTAAGACCAAAATTAAAGATATCCATATTCTTGGGTCTCTTAATTCAACTGTAATTAATTTTTAAAAATTTTTCAATTATTATTTGTTCTCTGCCCAAAAAATTCAGTAATTTAAGGTTCATAGATATTATAACCAAGTTAAATGTGGCAAAATTATGTCAAAATACTTTTAACCACATGCCTTCTACAAAAGATTAAAGCTATTTTATCACATACCTTTTCATTCTCTTTGATTTCTTGTTTCTGCTTCATACTGGGATTCATTACGCAACTTGTGAAACACAAATGACTAGTAATTAAAAAAAAGAATATGGTTTGCATCTGAAGGTAGTCTAGATTTTTTTTTGTAAAAGTATTTACAATAGAAAGAAATCGTACTATTATCTTTCTCACTCAACTCTAACTCAGCCATCAGTGACTATTTTGATATCTATTTTTTACACATAGACACACACATAATAATGATGATTGGAAAAAAATCTTGTTACAAAAGGGAAACTATGTATTTTAAACAAATTTACAAAGCAAAGTGCCCTGGATTAAATACAGGGCTCTGAGATGTGGTAACTTGGAAAAGCAAAACACAGATATCGGGGTATGCCCAAGGCCATCCTAAAGAACAGCATCCTAACTTTGCTGTTTCAAAGGCAGACTTAAGCTACAATAAACTAGGCTCTGGCAATTATTTAAGTGTGACATAACATCAGGACAAATAAGATTATGCATTTACATATGTAGAAATGTTTAATCTCCAACATGAAGAGCTAACAAGCCAGGAAGAGGAAGCAGGAGATAAAGGGATATGTAATATGGTTAACAAGACAACTGGGAGTTACTCCAAACTCAGCATCTGAACCCTTCAGCCATGTCTGTGCCTCGCTAACAGAGCTCCCTGATTTTTGTGGCCATGCCTTTATTCAGTGCAGTGGCTTTCAAATTTTGATGCACTTCTAACATTAACACATTTTACACTGTGATCTAGCACACAAATATGCAAACAAAAAAGTTTAAGGAAACAAAACGATCTAATTGTGTGTAGTGCACCCTGCTATGTTCTATTCTATTTCATGTTTAAAAAATGCTGGTTGGGACCCACTGAATGGATCTAGGACAATGTTTTTCAAACTGCGGGTCGCGGGCTGGGATCCTGAAATCCAGCGTAGAGGGTCATTAGCACCGTTGTTTAGAAAAATGCAACAGAACAGAATGGAAATGAAGAGACGAAAAAAAAGTGTACATGGCATGAGAAGTACTTCTTCGTGAGAAGTCTAATTCAGTTACGTGGCGGCGTCCTTAATTGCGACGTAAGTGTGCCTTAAAATGAAAAACGGTGAAAGCCACTGATGGAGTAAGTCTAATCCTTCACGTTTTACAACACTTGTCAGCAACCTTGCACCCTTGTCTTTTATTCCCTGGTTCTTTTAACGAACTAGATGCGAAACTGTAGCAAAAGACAGGGTCCAAAGGGAGCAGACGAAACCAGTGTCTCCAGCACCGGTATCTATTTCATGGTAGACGACCTCTTCTCAAGAGCCAAATCTGCGGGCCCCTCGGATGAGGATCAGTTACTGAACTGGCAAGAGGATGGATGTTCCACCTCATCCCCCGAACCGGGCACGCCCTGGCGGGGTCCTCCACCCCAGATCTTATCACCCCTCTCCGCCTACCAGCCTGCACGCCCGTGAGGCCCAGCGCCCTGCGACAGGGCAGACGGCGCGGCCCAGGGCGCTCGAGCCCATCAAACACAGGGCGCGCCTCGGTGACGGCGCCCGCCAGCCAATAGGCAGCGCGGAAGTGAGATCGCGCCAAAACCGACCCGGCCAATAGAGCAGCCCCTCGCCTCACCTCCCGCCTCCGCCCCGGCGCCCGCGGTCGTTCAACAACCCCTTCAGCCACACCTTGGCCCCAGCCCCGCAGCCCTCAACGTACGGTGCTTCAGGTTGGCAGGAGCGAAAGCGAGTTGTCTAGGCGCTGTATACCCTTGCGCTCCTGCGTACCCATCTCCTGCCACCTCTCTCACACTTACCGGTGAAGACGCGTACTCCTCGTGGCCAACGCAGGCAGCTGTGTCAGCGGCACCTCGCACACAGCCCACCGCCTACCACCGCTGGCCCCTACGGTCGCTGGAGCGCCCGGCGCGCGCTGCAGTAAAGTCTAACTCCGCTCGCCCGCGCCCACACGGCAGCGTGACCGCCTGACGCAAGGCGAGGGGCAGGGCCTCCGAAATCCAGCGAATCGCCTCGCGTCCCTTCCTGCGCCTGCGCAGTAAGTGGTAGCGTGTACTGGGGGAGAGAGGCCAAGGGTTTTCGGCAAGCTGGGAGGTCCGTGCCCTTTGGCCCTGCCTTCCGACCCTGCGCTCGGAACTTGCTTCCTGGGTGCAAAGCTTTTGCCCTTTGTGAAAGCAGAAAAGATTTACTTCCGTTAAACGTTAACACTGGTAGGGCAAAATTGTATATATAATACACGACTTAGATTTGTGTGAGTCCCCAGTTCCAAGAGCTCCTAGTTTTAATATTAAGAGCTTTTATGTTTTGGTTTTTGCATATCGACTGAGCTACAGTGGGAGTTGTTTCGGAAGACATCATTCGGCAATCAATCCTACAGCTATTCATTGAGCACCTAGGACGATTTCAAGGGAAAGGGAAACCTTAGTAATAATTACATCTAGCCTTTCTTTAATTGTGTAAAATCCTCGGATAATGGCACTCTGAACATAGTACATTTGAGCTCACTGGAGTTTAGTCAAAGCTTTTGTTTGCGCCTCCCATAGATATTAGTACAAGTCTGTTTTCCTGTTTCTTGTTTTTTGTTTGTTTTTTCTTTTGAGTTGGAGTCTCACTCTGTCGCCCACACGAGTGCAGTGTAAAGGGAGGGTGCAGCCTCGACCTGCTGGGCTCCGGCGATCCTTCCGCCTCAGCCTTTCAAGTAGCCGGAACTATTTTTTTTGATTTATGGTGGAGATGAGGTCTCGCCAAGTTGCCCATGCGGGTCTCGAACCCGCGGGCTCAGGCAATCCACTCACCTCAGCCTCCCAAATGCGCGGAATTACAGGCTGAACCACCGAGTCAGGCTTGTTTTCCTGTTTAACTTTTCATGGGAGACTCTGTTATGCGGATGGAAGGCTGCTTCTTTCGCAGTCAAATACGAGACGCAGAAAGCTGGGAGAAGGAAGTAGTTTTATTCTGATACCATGGGATCAGGGAACAGGCTGTGTATTCACCCAAAACCTGTTCATTTAAGCAGAGTTTCCATCCAGTATTTATAATAAAACAACAGTTTCTTATCTTTTTCCCACTATTGATTAATAATGACGTGTCTTCTTACCATTACTCATTTTCTTTCTTGATAAGTGTTTAGACCTCAAACATTACTGTCACAAACTGGTGCGCAGATTACATCAATTCTGCCATTGTTCTAAGTTACAATTACCTTAAACAATTTGGGACTGGTACTTCCTAGTTGGTTACAGTTTTTTGCTTGTTCTGGGAGTTCTGGTTCACAAGGCTTGATTAAACATTACACATAAAATTAATGCAAAGACATGAAAGAAAGCAATTGTCATTTAAAGACTAAGGAGCCAAGCTCACACCTGTAATCCCAGCACTTTGGGAGGCTGAAGTGAGAGGATTGCCTGAGCTCACCGGTTCGAGACCAGCCTGGGCAACTTGGTGAGACCTCATCTCTACAATAAATAAAAAAATTAGCCCGGTTTTGTGGCGTGCGCCTGTAGTTCCAGCTACTCGGAAGGCTGAGGCGGAAGGATCGCCAGAGCCCAGCAGGTTGAGGCTGCAGTGGCCGGGAGCGGCCACTGCACTCCAGTGTGGGGGACAGAGTGAGACTCCAACTCAAAATAAATAAATAAATAATAATAAAAATTAGCTGGGCATCGTGGCGCATGCCTGTAGTTCCAGCTACTGGTAAGGCTGAGATGGAAGAATCACCTGAACCCAGCAGGTTGAGGCTACTGTAGCTGTGAGCATGCCACTGCACTCCAGCCTGGGCAACAGAGTAAGACTCCAACTCAAAAAAAAAAAAAATCAATTTCACTTGTTTCTTCTTTTTTTAGTAATATGGCTACCAGAAAAAAATATAATTAAAGGTGTGGCTAACATTTGTATTCCTTGTTATATTTCCATGGAAAGCAGCTGCTCTAAATTATCATAATGTACATTATTGCACTGGATGCTTTCAGTAGGCCTGTGCAGTAAATGTTTTTACTTCCTTTTTAACAAGATTAAGAGATTTCATCACAGACCCAAGATCTCACACAAGGCAGCAGCGGAATGAAGCTTTAGATCTGACTCAAAGTCCTCATGGGAATAAAAAGAGGTTCTGAAAATATTCTCTCAAGAGACATAAAATCCTCAAGCCCCCAAACTACTAGGAAACGTCTCCAAACCTTGTGCTTTCCTATTAGTTTTTTAAGGACAAATTTATAGAAAAAACAATTTTGTGGGATGTGGAAAAAAGTTGTAAGTAGTTATCACTGGATCAGATTTTTTTTTGTAGGCATACAAATATATTGTAGTCTTATCTGCAGTAAAGAAACCATGAGTATTGATAGGCATAAGTTTATTCAGTAGTATTGACTCATGTTAATCAATGTATAATCATGTATAATTTATTATGAATTTAGTAATTATAAAGAATGGGTGATTATGGAAGTTGGCAAATCCAAAATCTGCAGAGCCAATGTCCCAGTAGGAGTATGAATGTAAAGCCTGGAAGCTGCTGTAAAACCAGAAAGGGCTTATGTACAAGTGTAAAGGTCATCAGGCAGTAAGAGTTTATACTCCTGATCAAAAGCCATCAGGCAGGAGAATTCTCTTTTACTAGGAGTGAAAGGGACGGGGTTCTATTTAGACCTTCAACTAAGGCCCACTCACATTAAGGAGGGCAATCTGCTTTACTCAGTCTATAGATTTAAATGTTAATTTAATCAAAAAATACCCTCATAGAAGCATCTGGGCGCCTATGGCCCAAACTGACATAAAATTAACCAGTACAATGAGAAAGAATGCCTTGCCTGGACCTTGATTGAGGGGTACTTGGATGCCCTTAGAATGAGAATGAGAAAACCTAGCTAATGGGTTAGTAGGAGCATCTTATGTTTTATGTTTTATCAGTGTCAAGGGAACAATTTGAGGTTCAGTGTCAAATGAACCTCAAATTGTTAAGCTTTATGTTTTGCGATGATTACAGGTCTGTTTTCTAATAGCAGATATTATTAGATAAAAGCAGAAAACTTTCTGTGATGATCTAGAAATTTCACACAAAACCTTAGATAACAAATACACTAAAATTAATTTTATCTCTGCGCTGGGAAATCTTTGTGCTTATGTTTTGGTGTGAGTAACTTGGTGTTCTGATAACTCACAACACTTCAAGCAAGATAAAGATGCTGCACAGTCAAGATCTTATTTCACAAAAAGAGAACGTGTGTTAGTTTGCTAGGGCTGCCATAATAAAGTACCACAGACTGGTGAATTAAACAACATAAATTTATTGTCTTACAGCTCTGGAGGGCAGAAGTCTAAAGCCAAGGTTTTAGGAGGATTGCTTCCTTCTGAAGGCTATGAGGAAGGATCTGTTGCAGGCATCTCTCTTTGGCCTATAGGTGATTTTCTCTCTATGTCTCTGTGTCCAAATTTCCCCTTTTTATAAGGACACTCATCAGATTGGATTATGGACCGCCCTAATGACCTCATTTTAACTTGATTACCTCTGGGAGGTTAAGACTTCAATATGTGAATTCGAAAACACAATTCAAGCCATAACAAGGCTTTTTAGCTTCCTTTTCTATCTTTCATTTATTCCTGACTTGAATGTGAGAGTGAACAGTACGAACTCTAAGTCTGATTCAAATCAACTATCTGTGTTGTTCTGCCGTTTGTGTGATCTTTTCCTTCTTATGGTCATTACATTTCAACTTTCATCATATTTGAAACATATGACCAGATCCTACATTTTAAAAGGGCTCTCAAGAAGAGAAAAACTCATTACTTTGAAAGCATGTCTATCATGTTTTTAATGAAAGGTAAGAGCAATTTCTGAGAAAGTTTTTAGCATGTTAGACCCACAATTTAAACTTTTGGCACTATATGTCACCAGTCACAGGAAAATTTGTCCCCTTTAATAATGTTTATGAGTTCCCTGGCAAGATGGCGACGGAACAGTTCGAGCTATGAGAGTCTCTGCAAAAGTAAGTGTCCATAAAGACTCTCTGTGTGAGTGGGTGTGTGCCGGTGGGTGAGTGAAAGCCTGTCTGAGGGGATGCTCGGGTTCATGCACCTGGGGCTGTCCTCCAGAGGTGACTGCAACCCACCACCGCCCTGAGATTGGAGACCTGGGTGTACAGGATCATCTGCTTGCTGTTTTCAGGGCTCTCTTGAGAGGAGGCTGCAGGGAACCTCTGCCCCTCACTACCTGGAACCTGGCCCATTTCACCACCTACAGTAGCAGACTGGGCATAAGCAGAAGGAAGCATGGAGAAACAGGTTGTGGAAATCTGGAATAAAGCTCCAACACCAGTGATGAGACACTGATGGGTGCCATCTTCTTGGTCCTGGGACTGGGCAGAGACCTGCATTGCCCGGCTCAGCCCTGCCCAGCCTCTATCTTGAGACTCAGAGGCTATCTTCTCATCAGACTTGGAGAGACAGATGCCTCTCCCCCATGCTGGAACAGGCCAGACACCTCAGAACTGAGTGGGAGACTTGACAGCAGCAGCAGCAACAAGTAAGGTGAGTCCTGATCTGATTCATTCTCCTCTCACAGTAGTAGTAGTCTGTGAAGCATCTGACCCATGCTGAGAGCAACTATATCAACCTAAACTGAGAGCAGAGGGGAGCTGCTGGAGACCAGAGCCACTCCCTAAGGAAGAGGCCTGAAAGGAAACTGGAGCCACAGAAACAGCCACAGAAAGAGGTTTTTTTTCTTTCTTGTTTGTTTTTTGTTTTAGATCTAGCTTTTTCTTCTTCTCTTTTTCTTTCTATTATTGTTTATGTTTTTGTACTTGTTTTGTTTCTGTTATTTTAATTTTTTTTTTAGACTTTCAGTTTTTGTATGGGTATTTTTGAGGGAGAGTACACCAGCAGGGTTTTTTTTTTGTTTGTATGATTGTATGTTGTTGTCTTTTTTGTTTTTTCTGTCCTTGTTTCTCTGTTTATTCGTTAGTTGGTGCGCATGTCTGTTTCCCCTCC